TTTATTGGGTGTGGCTACTCTTTTGTAGATAGTAAATATTAGTGCAGAGCATTTCCAACACTGCAGAAAGTTCTCTCAGACAACACTACTTTAAAGTCACTGGAATATAAACAAAACAGATATAAATATAATATTGTATTTGGAAAATTTGTGGAAAGAAAGTGGACTTTCCCCACAAACTTTTTGAAATGCCCTTGTATAACTTCAGGAGCCCTGGTGGTGTAGTGTATACATTGGGCTGCAGCTCGCAAAGCCAGCTGTTCAAAATTATGATGTGGCTTTCTTCTTGCATAAAGAGTTACAGCCTCAGAAACCCACAGCAGCAGTTCTACCTTGTCTGATAGGGTGGCCATGAGACCTAATGGTGGTTAGTTTGGGTTTTGTCAGTTCAAGAACTTTGTTGACTGCTATACTCTAGTGCCTGACATATAAATAATGCTAAATTAACATTTTTAAATGAATAAATAGTAGATTGGACAGTCGTATATTTAATCCCAGACAGGAGACAGCATAGAGAGGAATGGTGGATTGAGAATAACTTGGAGAAATGATCGTTTGAATCTCTTCATAGGCAAAGTTAAGACTTGTGGATTTTGTTCTTGGTACAATGCAAAGTGATAGAAAGCTTTTTAGCATGACAGTAACGTGATCTGATCTTGGTCTTATCTTTTTAACAAACTTGACAAATTTTTCATGTTCCTAACTCTTGAGAGTATAGTAAGGAGAGCTTAATAAGTGTTATGATAGCTGATTACTTAATTTTTAGTGTTAGCACTACCATCATTGTTTTATGTTTGTTTTAATAATTGTTTACTTATAAGCAGGAACTTATAGGCAAGAACTTGTTTTTATTTTTTCCAGTGAAGGTGGTGTTTTTAAGGCTCATCTCACTTTCCCAAAAGATTATCCCCTTCGGCCTCCTAAAATGAAATTCATTACAGAAATCTGGCACCCAAATGGTAAGTTTATCTAGTTTTCCTTTTATACTTACAAACACAGCGGTCTGTTAATAAAGTTTTAAAAGTCAATAAGAAAAATGTAGCTCTCAGTGAAGTAGTTTTAGAATTTTTGTACCCAGGTCATGTACCCAACACATTATTACCTTATTATAGATTCTTTTAAAAGAGTGGCATAACAGGGATCATATGGGGTGATGGTGGTGAGTTTTTCTTTATTTACTTAGTTTTTTGCTCTTTATGAGACTCAGGGTGTTCCCAAATGGAGAAGAGTTGCTAAATGATTCTCAGCATCAATGCAGCTTCTATAATTGAGGAGATCATTCCCAAGGTATTAACTGGCTCTTTGGGTACTCCAAAAAGCATAGAAGTCAGTCAGTCTAGGATATTTGACATGTGAAAGGGCTTTGAAATATTTGTGGAAATATTCAGTGATTTCTCAATTTCATTTTTCCATAATTTGGGGGGAAGCTTTCTTGCATTTCTTCATTTTAGTTTTTGTACCATGGGTAATTGTTAAGTTTTCATCTGTATTCTTAGGTGTTGGGAAAAAAAGTCTCACTTACCTTTTATGGTGACTGCTTGGGCCAATACTACTGTGTTGAAATGTTGACACTGTCTTTTCCTTCTTTTAACCCCCACACCCACCATCTCCCCTACCCCAGTGAGCTTACCATTTGAAGCCACTTCTAGAGGAGAAATACTAACCAAGACAAACCAGCTTTAAAATCGATTAATGTAATGAGTCCCCAACTGCTTAAAGTTCAAAACTCAAGCCAGGGATGCTTATCACGCATAATTCTGGTCAGCAGTCATATTTTCTAAGAATCATTCCCTGACTCCATTTTCTGTACTAGTCAAAGGTCAGAGTAGAGAAGCTATGTTCAAATCTGGAGGAGAAAACAACGGGACTGACAGTTTCGGGGGGACATGGGAGAGGGGGAGGAGGGGGAAAGGGAAGAGGTGTTAACAAACCCAGGGACAAGGGAACAACAAGCGATCCAA